GCCCAGATGCTCGGGGCCTTAAAGAAATAGAAAATGGAACTTAGTAGAAACTGGGTCAGTAACCAAAAGCCCTCTTAGAAAGGGAAGGTACAGCTGAGCATCTGAGATTTTCTTTCTTCTTCTTCTTCTTCTGGAATCTGATTGTTCTTTGTCCTCCTCCTCCCTTACAGAAAATGAAGGAGTACCTGGAGGGCAGGAACCTCATCACCAAGCTACAAGCCAAGCACGACCTTCTTCAGAAAACCCTGGGAGAGAGTGAGTGAGGGAGCCCTACCGGAGATTTGGCCGTGAGGGGAAGGCCGAGCCCGGGGCCCTAGTGCTGAGCACACCCCTCTGCCTTCAGCCAAGTGGACCGTATCTGGCTATATGAATGCATTGCTTTTCCGCGCTCGTTTGATGGGGAAGCACACGCCCCAGATGACTGCTTGAGTAATGGGGGAAGGCCAATGCTTAATGAAGCACTAATGTGCGTTGTCTATTTGTTTAAATGGAGCGTGCCTGCTCTCCACCCCACCCCCTCCTCTGCTGCGTCTGGAGCAAAGGAGCTGATGGGTTATTTACTCTCCAGACACTTTGGTAAAACTCTCAGCTCCTCTGTGGCAGAACTGAGGCTGGAGCAAGAGGGAAGGGAGCTGTAAGCTGAGCTCCCCAGCTGCTCGGAGGAGAGGATTGTCAAGGGCAGGGATGATGGGCTGACAGCCGCTGTCTGGAGCTTCGAGGTGGGGCCGCGGTCTTTCCTCCGTCCTGAAGGGTCCCAGTGCTAGGAGGCAACCCTCTCTCTCTGCTTTGGCCATGCCGGAGCTGTGGTACTGAATGGACTGTCTCCTCTCACGGGGTGATTTTAACCAGACCCTGGAAAGTAGCAAGGCAGAGGATGGACTGGCACTCTGGACTTTGTCTCCTCAGCTGTCAAACAGAAGGCAGAGGTTGAGAGAGAAGCGTCCCTGGGGTTTTTGGCACCCTGCCCAAGTCTCCTTGCCCAGCTCTCAGCATCCTGTGATTAATGGGATTCCCAGGTTGAGGATGCCTCTGAATGCCCGGCCCCTCCTCCCTGCCCCACTAATCTCACTTCAACACGGGGAGGGGGAGGCTACGTGGAATAGGTGGTAACACCAGTAAAAGGCAAAACCTGCACTCACTCAGCGGTCTAACATTTTCAGATAAATTCTTGAGCCCTCTTCAGACAAACTGCAGAATCTAAGAGAGGGTATGGCACTCATTGTATCATTGGCCCCAGGAATTAGAGCCCCGATTCTCATACCAGAGCCTCCTACCCACCCTTCTTGTCCTGTTCTCCTGCCCTGAACGATTCCCCCCAGACGATTCATTCTTTTATCTCTAATGTCTTTGATCTTGTGATTTTTAAGGCATTTTCTTTTATGTGAAGAAAGCCTGTTAAGTAACTCTGTTCTCTTTCCTCCCCACTCCCCAAGGGATTCAAGCTTAACAGGTTTAGGCACTGAGATCCAAACTTTGCTTATAGAAGATCTTTACTCTGGGGTTATCAGATTGCTCCATGGGGAATCGGAGGAGAGAAAGCCCAGGACTGTCTGAAGCAAGTTGTAACTGTGATTTCATTTTACCAAGATAATCTAAGCGTGGTCCATAAGTGGGGTGATGGGGAACAGGCCCTCTGGGTGTGAGAGGAAAAGAGAGTTTGTATGTATGTTTGTGTGTGTGTGTGTGTGTGTGTGTGTGTGTGCGAGAGAGAGAGAGAGAGAGAGAGAGAGAGAGAGAGAGAGAGAGAGAGAGAGAATGGGTTTGAAACACACACACAAGCACCAAATGTGCTACTATGAAAGGGTGAAGGTTGGTGGCCGTTCATTAGTGCTGCAAATGGCCTTCCTCTAAAGATGACAAGTTCTAGCAACAAGGAAAAAAATAGCTGCAGATCTTCCCATGTGCAGGTCATCATGTCCCTGCCTTCTGCACGTATTTGTCACTGTAATGCAAGAGCCCCTTGTTCTTGCCATGGAGGGATAATTGATGTGTATGAATATTCCGGCATGGAAATGGGACAGATGTTGGAAATAATGGCTCTGAATAATATTTTTGCAGATGAAAGCTGCGCCTTGAGGAAGAGAGGCTGTTAGGGGTGGGGGAGGGTGTTGCTCGAGATGTGCTGAACTGTAATCAACAATTAGCAACCTTTAAAGGCTAGAAAAAGCCCTGCCCTCCCCCCACCACCCTCGGAGTCGCCTTTCCAGGATCCTGGATGAGGGTGTGGGAACTGCTCTCTCCTTCTCCAGCTCAGCACCTGCTGATAAACCATCTTCCCTGGTTTATCTAATACTGTTCTAATGCAGACCAGGCTTGGTTAACTGTGGACCCAAAGAAAGCAACATAGATTACAGAATGGCCCATGTACAGATGCATATGTATTTTTTAAAAACATGAGGATACTTTGTATGAACATTAGGGTTTTCAATTCCATGTTTTAAGGCTGGCTCTGATCTATTAAACTGAGTATTGGGGCCCACTGTTGGACTGAGTACCACGGTTTGATGCCAGTGTCAGCATTTTAAATCTCATTTTTTCCTTGTCATTTCAGCCCAGCTTGATGGGATTGAGAATTTACTATGAATCTAAAACTAGAACTTCCTTGGGAAGGGAGGGTATAGCTCGGTGGTAGAGCACGTGCTTAGCATGCATGAGGTCCTGGGTTCAATCCCTAATACCGCCATTAAAAAATTTTTAATAAATAAATTAACCTAATTACCTACCCCCCAAATTATTTAAAATAATAAAATAAATTAAAAAAAAATTTAAACCAAAAAACCCAATATAGCTTCCATATATGCCCCATCCTCTCCCCAAATAACTATTCCTTCCACCCTCAAGTGTGTGAGAGAGTATGTGTGTGTGTGCGGGCGTGTGTGCACGCATGTACTCATCCCTCCCTCCCCAACACGAACACACCCAACGTACATTGAAGAGAAGCTGAATTTTATCTCTGGGAAGGCTTCTCATCATTTGTTCTCTAAGGCATGATCTGCTTTCTGTTGTTCCCCTGTTTTCCCTTTGGGACCAGAGTTGGCAAATCCAACTACTGGTTTCGGGACACCCACACCCCTGGGCTGGGAAGAAGCATCAGAAGTGGCACTGGCCCAGAAAGAGGCCCTGCGTGCTCTCTGCTTTTTGGTCTGGAAGGCCAGTCACGGTGTGATGCTAGTGGCTCCCTGGGGAGACAGGCAGACATGGTCATTCCTGGGAGCAAGTCTCCCTCTTTCACGCCTGCTGCTTCAACATGTGCTTTTTGCCTTTTGTCTTTCCAACAGGTCAGCGGACAGACTGCAGTCTGGCCAGGTAGGTGTGGCCTGAGGCAGCCCTGGGAGGGGATGAAGAGAGGCCCGTGGGGTAGAGCCATCACAGCCTGGGAAAGAGCCAAGGAACTGAGTTGTAGAGGCGTTTGGATGACTTTGCAAAGGATTGGCTCAGGGCAGGGGTGGCTTCCGTCCCTTGGCCTTGCTGACCCCATCTGGCCTCAAGTGGAAATGGGTTTGCGGAGCAGAACCCAGTGAAGGGAATTACCATTTGCTAAAATGGTCCCAGAGACTCCCGAAAGCCACTGCATTGCAAGGAAAAGAAATGTTCGATGCTGGAGGATGCTGGTAACCTTACAGTAGATTCTAGACTTCAACACGTGGGTTTCGGGAAGTCTCTGACCCAGGGAAAGAAGATCAGAAGATAACACTTGGCCTGAGATTGTTTTATACACGAAAAAGATGATAGCCCCTAATTAGGGAGTGTTGCTGGCTAATGAAATATTACACTGCATTGCTTGCCAACAGCATTGGTAGAAATCCTTGCCTGATGTACAAGTGTGCCTCCCTCCCAGTGTTTCCCCACCTTCCCCTCCTCCCATCCCAGCCAAATATTTTCCCTCTTAGTCACAGTGCTGCTATGAGAAAACTTAGTGAGTTGGCGGAGAGCAAGGCATTCATTCAGCCAACGGTTCTTAGATGCCTAAAAATGTGCTGATTTAACGGGGGAAAGTGCTTTATTGGGCTGGACTCCTTAGAGACCCCGGATTAGCCCATTATATAAACCACTTATATTTGCCAACACACACAATGATCATGAGGCCATTTACAATTACGGGCTCATTATTTAAAGATAGCTTCATTTGGCTTTCATCGTTTTGTCATTATGGATTACAGTAAAGACCCCATTAATATATTAGCCTTGTTGACTGGAAGGAACCAGGATAATGGGACTCTGTGGAATATATCTTCTTGATGATAGAGTCCTAGTGTAAGTTCACCTGATGTCCCGTATCTGCGGAAGGCTCTGTGGGAGTGAAAAGAGCTGAGCTGACTTCCTGTATGCTGTTATTCACTGTGTGACGTTGGGCTGCTCTTTTGCCCTCTCTGAACTCCAGTCTTCTCATCTGTAAGACAAGAAGGAGCATTCCACTAGATCCCAGGAGCTCCAGGATTCCAAAGAGGTTCCTCAGGAGCGGGCTGGTGGAAGGGACAGACGGAGCCCAACAGCCAGGCTCGCTGCTCTGCTTGCTTGGGGGAGTGTTGTCTGAGTCAGATTCCCTCGGAGAAAAGACTGCTGAGGCTTAATACAGCTTGAAGAGCATTGACCTAGAGGCTCCCCAAGGTTCCTTCCAGTCTGGAGCCTCTAAGTTCCAGGAAAATGGTTCCCTATCTTGTCCCTGTAGATTTCCAAAGAAAAGAAAACCATTGCTTCCTCTGGTGTTTACTGGGTGTCTCCTTATAAACAGAGAGGTCGTCCTGTTTCCCGACCCGTCTATATTTATATGTTGGCAAATTGAGCCAAATCCCTACGGTTCTGGTTTTGAATGGTGGCGTTCATTAAAACCAGAGACCTCTGTGCTTTTGTGGGGAATGCTTTATTGGGCTTTATTTGGAAAGTGGTTTTTCGAGTTTCCTAGCCATTGCTGACACTGAGCTGAATGATGTGGCTGGTTTCATTAACCGCCTCCCGGATTGTTTTTAATCCCTGTTTTCTCTTTTTCCTCCCGGTTGCTGGATCTGTCCTCTCTGGGTCAACCACAGGCGTAGCTCAACTGTGAGGAAACAGGTAAGGACCCAGCAAGAACCAGGCCTGTCTGGTGGGACAGTGGTCCCATCCCAGACGTTGGTGGAACTCGGTACACTGAGGATGGGACAGACACTTTTCTGACTACATGCCTGCATTACTGTTCAGTCATAGTATGTTTAATATGATGATAATTTCATTGATTTCATTGGTTTAGCCTGGGGGGGTGTGGCCTTTCTGACTCATTCCTCTCCTCCCTAGTTGGTTGCCCTCTTACAGACTGAAGATCTGGTTGACTGTGGCAGAGTATGCCAGAATTGTCCTCGGTATCACTTCCTTAGGAGACTGTGAAAGAGACTTCACATTTCGTACTTGTATGTGCTGGTATGTCAGTAACTCACAGCAGCCAGTCACCTAGACCAGGGTTTGCAGGGTTTTGTTTGTTCATTGCTGGTGGCATGGACATCCTGGACGTATTTCTAAGACATAATAAAAATGTAAAGATAAGTCTGATCTAGAAATGATAAGCAAGAGACGTTGAACCCTGCATTTTGGTGCATGATCGTCAGTGTTGTATTAAAATCTGACACTGAGCAGCGAGCAGAAAGCTCTCATGACCCCCATTAGGAGGAGTTTTAGCACAGCATGGACAATCAACATCAATGGGTAGTCTTAAACAGCACTTGGGCCTGTTTAAAAAAATTAATTGAAGGTTTTTTGTTTTTTTTTTTTTTTTGCAGTAGCAAATTTGACTTCCTGATTGTACTTTATGGCAAATACTAAAGTGGTTTTGTGTCCCCTAAGCTCAGACCAGCTATGCAGCAGGCAGTTAGCACGGAGAGGGTGGAGAGAGCTCAGAAATACCTTTGTGTGTACTCAGGGGAAAGCTGATCCAGGCTTTAAAAAATCGTTTTGGGTAATTCACAGTGGTTGTAGCCACAGGGAGAGAATGGAAGGTCGAGGGCACATGGTTTCTGTGGTGGTGGCAGCCCCTGCGGGGTCTTCAGCTGATCTGACTGCTTCAGCTGGCTGGGCGGGTGGTCCAGCTGGGGAAGTTGATAGTGTAACCCTCGCTTGTCTTAGCTTTGCTGTCACTAATTTTTTTTTCCTTCTCTATTTTGGATCTCGTTTGAATGAGAACACCATCAGGTGCAATTACACATTTTTGTAATTTTAAAAATTGATTGCCACTCTCTTTCCTCTTGTTCCTCTATTTCTTTCTTCTTCCCTTTCTCCCATGATTTCGTTTATAGTGAGAGTAGAATGGAGTGACTCCCAAGGATAATTT